CCCAGGCATCATCCCTATCAGTATGAGTTCGTGTGCATGGATAGGGGCTCCAAGGAGGACGCGAGGCCGCTGTGTGCTACGGAGCGAGAGGTCCTGACGGGGATCCCCAAGCACTGCGCTTCGTCCGTTGACGGCTCGGGCTCCAGCCACGACAGCGTCGAGACCAGTCATTGTTGCCTCCTTGGGACCGCATTCGCCTGCTGCGTTGTGAGCCGGCTGTTCCTAGGGCTGAGACTGGAGCTCGGGTGGCCGGTTAGCGGCGCGAGCCTCCGCGGCGTCACTCGGAGCCTCGAGGTAAAGGATCTGCTGGGCGAGTCTGTCGAGTCTTCGCAGTGCCCGATTCAATATTCTCCGGGGGGCCAGAAGTTCGCGCAGTTTCTCTGGTCGATCGCTGAGAAGGCTAGCAGTGATATCGGATTGTACATTTTGGCCGAAGGCCTGGCCGAGGTCATCCATATATCCAGCTTTGCGGCGCTGCCGACCGATTTTGTCTCCCTTCTGACCGAGGGCGGCCCGAGTTCTGCGCGTCGGCGCTCTCGAACTGAAGGCGCAGGACCCGCGCGTCGTCGTTCGGGGGCGTTGGGGTGTTGCGCCTGGTCGACTCGCAGGTGGCAGCTTCGATTTCGACGCGAGTCGAACATCCGTGAAGAGGCTCCGCATCTTGACGCGTGAGCTCAGTTCTCTACGTTGGCAGTTATTGCATCAGCAGTTACCCCGGTGACTGACCTTCTCGAGTTTCTTGCGAAGAAATGGTGCAAACGCAGGAAGTTGGCTGCGTGTGCGCTCTCAGGTCGCCTAAGAGGCACGCGCGTGCGAATCCTCCAGATCACCGGGCCCGCTCGTGATCGATATGTTTCATTGCGCTGGGTGCTAAATGCTTGGTGGTGAGCTGCTGATGGTCGCTTGTCTGTGTCGCCGGAGGTTGACGGCGATCCCAGTGAATGCTCGAGCCGCAATGCCATGGTGGGCCATGCTCGAGCCGCAATGCCTCATGGTGGCTGCAGCTGCTGCGCGATAGTGAACGATGCCGTCTCTGGGACACCCTGCAGCAGAGCTGGAGCCTGGTCAGGGCGGAAGTCAGTGTGCACCCTGCCGAGCCGCTCCAGTCACTGCCCTGATCGTCTTAGCCTTTGCTGCTGTCGCGTGAGACCTTGGCTGGGAAGGCCTGGCCTTCGACTTCTTATGCGAACTGGTAAGCTCCTGGCGCTGCGCCGACAGCAGTGCTAATCAAAAGCAGCCGTGCTGTCCTTCGTGTCAGGTCTTCAAAGATGCGGCTCAGGACAGGATTCTCTGAAGTCTAGGCTTGCAAGATGGATTCAGTCGAAGAAATTTCAAGGGTCGATGCCTGGGCCTGGAGGCGGATCAGCTTTCGTGTAAAATCCCAACGCCTGAAGCTCGGGAGCAATGGTCTTTGGTGGTCAGCTTGTTCGATACTTGTCTCAGGCTGCCGCCAGTTCAGTAGCCCGCGCGCTGCTCCCGAACCCTAAGGAAAGAATTCAGGCAGCTTCCTTGCGCTGGAAGCAAGTGGAGAAGTACTTTGAGCCTTAAGCTGTGGGTGTATATATACACATATATATATATATATATGTATACAAGACTGCAGTGGCGCTTCGCGCCATGCACCTTGGTCCTTGAAGTTTGGTATGCAGGTGGAAT